ATCTTCTAAAAATATTTTATTTCATCAAAATTTTCATGAAAGACAGTCCTATACCCATTTCTTCATGCAATGCACACAGTAATTGCAATTGTAGTTTCAATTCTTAGTGCTCCAGTTTCACCATCTATGGTTCATTATAAATTATAGCCACCATGAGTAGCCAACACAGAACCAAAACTAAGTAAATGCAACATCATGATGTAAAATTCTCTCGAAGCAATATTTCACACAGATTTTTGTTTTGAATAACTATATTAGCTTCACATAATTCACCATAACTTCTTGAGAATTAGCGAAGATATGCTATGTTGCTTTTTTTTCTTTTTCCTTTTTTCTTTTTTCAAACAACTAGCATGACTAATTTAAAGCTAGATAGGATTCCCGAGAAATTTTCCATATAAATAAGCACACCATTTCGATTTGATAGAACAATTGCCCAAGTAAAAGCTTCTTATTACAACTCTGCAATACAGATAAGACATTTTTCAAGAAAACGATTTGTTTATATAATACTATTACATTGATCTTTTTTTTTTTTTTTTTTTTTTTTCAATAAATCAAAATTAAAATGATAAAAGAGAGAAAATACTAATGGGAAGGATGGGATGTTTTTTAAGGAAAAAATAAAAGAAAATAAAAGACTGAGAAGTACAAACCAGAAAACAGAGAAAGAATTAAGCAAAAGAGCCTTTACCCAAAAGAATAGACTCCTTCAAAACACGTCACCCTAAGCATCCATTTGATCATTGTTGGACTTGTTAATTCATCTAATCACCATACCTAAAGTTGTGAAAAGATCAACAACCTCTTTCATTGAATGTTTGATAGTGAATCTAGTGTCTGCATGCTAAGACAATTCAAGACTACTTTTTGAACTGTCTCTAGATAGGATTCCCTAGAAAGTTCCCAATTGGCCCGTATTAGAAGACTCGAGAATCAAACTTTCTAAAATATCTCTAGATACACTATCACATTTTGACCGCATTATATGATACATAAAATGCACGTCAGACATACAATCTTCAGTCCTTACATTGAACTACATGCATATCTCTATATATATTGCAAATTTAGAAGAAATTTCCTTCAAACATTACAAGATTATAGCATTCTAAATTAGATGAATCAATTGAATCCTGCTTTTTTCTTTCATTTCTACTGTATATGCGGTGTGTGCATGGCATCTCGTTCAGTTGCTTTTTAGTGGACTCACTCTTATCAAAAATATTATCTGCCAACAGTATGCAACTTATTTTATTTTACATCAAAGAACAAATTATATTATTATTGTCATTAATAGTGACTACAATTTTTTAAAAAGGAAAGCAAGGACATGAAATGAAGATAATATAGTCTCATCTCCACTTTGACACGAACCAACCAAATGGAATGTCATCAATAAAATGATAAAGATAGTAGGGATGACTTTATTATGACTAGTTGATGCAGGATGCAGAAGAACTCTGATTCCAAATTGATATAAGAAGTGTACAAGGAAGAAACAAGAGAATAAAGAATACGGATAACAACACATAATAATGGGCAGAATTACATGAGGTCTAGTTCTTGATGTAGTTTGATTTATTTATTTTTTCTTTAATTGTTGTTTCATTTTTATTTTCCCAATTCTGTATTTTCCAACTGTATTTAAACTAAGCTTTGATGTCATGCGAAGCACATAAGGCCATAACCCTAAATCAGCATTGTTTATTGGTAAGGATAAAAATCTCTTCACATAAAGATATGATGATGAACTATAATTCATTTAGGGAAAAAAAAAAAAAAATGAATTATATAAGTACGCAAAAAAAAAAAAAAAAAAAAAAAAAAGGAAGAAGAAGAAGAATAGAAATTAGCATCATCGAGATGAAAAGGGAAATTAATACGAGGGAGGACCAATGTGTAGCAAATATAAGATACATGGCAAAAAAAACTTTCCTGTGGGTGAGGGACCAGAAGTTGTACATGTAAAGCACCAAATAAGGACTACACAACCATAGAACAAACAAACCAATGCTCAAATTGATGAGTTACCTAGTTATTCAAGCTTGAAACAATAAGTTATAGAAGCCATACACAAAAACGAAATCCTAATTAAATTAAAATGTTCAGAGAATCCAAACAAGAACGAATAAAAAACAACATTAAAAACTGAATCAAAACTCTCAACTTCATGTAATCTTCAAATTAGTTTAGTAGAAACTTCCTGTCAGCAATGGGCAGCTCATTCAAACCATTATTGGATTTTTTTGTGTGCACGCACACATTATCAGCTTTCAGATGTTTTAGCTAAAGTCCATGTCCAAACAGTTATAACAAATATCCTATACACTCTGAAAATTAAGATAGGAAACTAGTAGCAATTATGCAGCTCTAGTTTAGTTATGATTTATTCTTTAAGAAGGTCAAACAACCTCACAATAGGGTGCAAATCAGGAACATTTGTACGGAATTTAGTTTTGGGGGCCAAACTATACTCGCTCCATATTATGTATAGGAAATATTGTTGAAAATAAACTTGATTTTAGTATTTAGTATTTTCAAGTATTTTTGTATCCATGATGCATGTGTTAATTTAGCATGTTAGTGGGTAGTAAATTGTCTTAGTGGGAGTTAAGGTTATGTAAAATAAAAAGTTATGAGAGTTAAGCCTAACAAATACTATGTTAGTGGGAGTTTTGCCTACTAAATGATTATGTTAGTGGGAGATAGGAGAGTTATGGACATTTAAATGTAATGGTTACACATACATATGTGAGGCCTATATATTCATGTACTCTAGTCAAATAATATATCAAGTGAAATAAAAAGTATTTTCCTCCATTTCTATTCTCTTCCAAATAGTATAGTGTTGTGTGTGTAACTAGGCCACTATTTCCAACAAAGTGGTATCAGAGCCAGATTTCATGTTCAGAGCTTAGACGATCCTGAAGGCCAGACGAAGTTGATCCTAGAAGGTTCAACATTTGAGAAAAACATATTTCTCCTTGATGATGATGAAGGGAAGAAAATGTATTTTCTTAGTGAAAAGAAGATGTTCTCTAATTACAAGAGAATGAGAATCATCATGACTTCATACCTCAAAGCATACGATTTGTGGGATGTTGTTGGAGAAGAGCCAAATAATGGCATATCAAACAAGCTTCATGAAAAGAAAGAAGATAAGGCATTGGTAGTGTTGCAAAAGGCAATACATCAAGAAATTTGGGAGTATTTTGGAGAGTCCAAAACTCCAAGTTGTATTTGGAAGATGCTCGAGACCATCGTTTCCAATCATAGAGGTGAATCACTACCCATGGAGTATTGGGTACAATGCTTTGAGAATGATGAGTTTACGAAAGATGATTATGAAAGTCTTGAAGACAAAGTTGTGGAGAATGAAGAGGTGTATCTTGCAAAAGAAGTTGAAGATTTTGGAGATTCAAAAGTTGAAGGAAAATTTGAAATGGTGAATAAGGAAGAGGTAAGAAAAGGTGTTAAAGAAAGAGATTGAAAAAGTGAAGGAGGATGAAGTGAAAATAGAAGATTTAGAAGAAGGAAGTACTAAAGAAGAGGCAAAAGTTCAAGTTGGTGAATTAACATCTTCAGGTATGGTTACAAATTCCACCTTGAAAGAAGTTATATTTGACTTATTTGATGAAATTATTATTTCTTCATATTCATCAAATAATGCTTATTTTGTGGAGAATGATGAACTTCTCTTAAAGAAAGTTGTTCTAAAGAAGTATGAGATTGAAGCCCAGGATGATATTTTTTAAAAAATAGTTTGGAGAATTTTGTAATTGATACAGGTTGGGTGAATATGGAATTATTTTTTGACTCTAAAGAAGAAGTATATGTGAAGTTGAAGATCCTTAAAAAATTTAAGAAGAAAAAAGATCGATGGTGTGCTTGTATAAAGAGGATGATAAATGATTATGTGAAGACATCAAACAAGCATTTGAAGAAGTTTCACAAGCCCTACACATCAATGGAAATGGACAAGAAGATTGAAGCTATTGAAGGAGGTGGAATTGAAGATCAACTATCGAACTTTTGATCAAGCCCCCAAGATTAATAAGAAGGTTTTTCAAGTTACAAAATCAAGTTTAAAGGGGGGTGTTGAAAATAAACTTGATTTTAGTATTATGTATTTTCAAGTATTTTTGTATCCATGATGCATGTGTTAATTTAGCATGTTAGTGGGTAGTAAAATTGTCTTAGTGGGAGTTAAGATTATGTAAAATAAAAAGTCATGAGAGTTAAGTCTAACAAATACTATGTTAGTGAGAGTTATGCATATTGAGGATTATGTTAGTGGGAGATAGGAGAGTTATGGACATTTAAATGTAATGGTTACACATACATATGTGAGGCCTATATATTCATGTACTCTAGTCAAATAATATATCAAGTGAAATAAAAAGTATTTTCCTCCATTTCTATTCTCTTCCAAATAGTATAGTGTTGTGTGTGTAACTAGGCCACTATTTCCAATAAATATTACATCAATTGTAGAAATGACAAGTGGACCGTGACAGTATTTTGACTCATCTGACTTGCGCATGTTGTTAATGACCAGTGGTAAGGGATTATAGAGTAAAATTTTTAGTTGTGGACTTCACAATTATTTCAAGAATCTCACTTACAGACAAGTTAACTTTGAGTTTTAGTATAATAGGAACTTTGCGGTGGAATTATGTAAAATTCAACAATAAAAAAAATAAAGAAAAAACACCAACACAATTAAGACAGTTTAATTTTAGATTAAGTCCAAAAAACTGTGTATAGAAATTGTCCTTACAAATTCATCTCCATCCAATATTCCATTAAATATTTCCCATTTTTATAAGCATGGACACAAAGTTTGATCATCACTTGCAAATATTTATATATGTTCTCATCATTTACCGTGTCTAGGGATGAAATACAAGAAAAAGTGAAAATACGACATCATCATTAAACTTTATAGTTATTTTTTTTTAGTCTAAAGTGACTGTAAATTACGAACAAGCACATCCTTACCTTGAACTGATATTCAGCACCACCACATTATCTCCAACAACATCGTCCTTAAGTGGAATGAAGCTTGGACTATAAGCAATTGCATCGAATTCTGATTTAACCCCACGAACCCCAAGGTATTTGAATTTTGATCCTTTAGGGTCAAAACAAACCAGAGCACTTTCAGAATAATTAAACATCAATACTGCCCCATCCTTTAGGCAATTCATTGGCAGATATAAACAGTTAGACAACCTCTCATCATGTAGGGTATCAATAGAGAACATTTTTGTCCAAGATTGTTGAACACCATGTTTCTTCATAAACCATACATGAATAGAATCACCGTCGGAGGCATCACAAATGCATAGACAGCCTTGTAGTACTCCCATGGACATATTGTCAACCGTACTCAAACCAACCGTGTCATCATTTTCATGAGAAGGAAAGGGAACTGATTGGAACTGCTCGTCATCATCAAGGTTAAAAGAAATTAACTGTATAAACAGACATGTTCGTGTCATTATGGAACCAATAAAGAGCTCCCTTCAAATATGTTGGATATGCTAGCTTATAATGGGGAACATCACCCATGCTTTCCCATGATCCTGAGCCAAGTGTGTGTATCTCAGCCTTCGTACTGTCATATTCTTCCTTCCTTGTAATGGGATTGAGAATGTATTGATCAAACACTCTTATCACCTTGTATTGATTAGTTCTTGTATTGAAGCCCAACCCACAGCCAACGACATATTTGTAAATCTCGTCACTCCAATCAGCCATAGCCACAGCCACTGTAGGGTTTATATATTCACCTGTGATTGGATTACACACTGTTGGGATTTATATGCCCTGGCATAGCAAATTCCTGTTTGGATTAAAGTGACATATGTTCCTGACGTTTCTGAAATATTTATGATTTATACAATTGGTGAATTCAATGTATTATATTTCGATTCATTATAGAATTGATAATGTCCATTTGATTACAAGAGATATTTATATATATGTATGTGATGGCAATCAATGCATGATATATAAATAGTAATCATAAATGGTTCATAGTCGGTAATTATGGATGGACTCATAATTAATTAAGATTTGAACTGGATCCGCGTTAGGTTGAGATATATTGCGAGAGCCGTTGTATACAATTGCTCCCTATCAACGTCATGGCATTTGACTCTTAAGCATGAGAAAATTATAGACTCTTTTATTAATTAATAATTACTTTGATTTGTTCGGCGGATTCTTCGGAATCCTTAGACCGACACTTTGGGTAGTTATGTAATTAATAATTAAAGGGTTATATTTTCAATATTTGCATCATTGCTACTTGTATTTATTTTGTATTGATTATGGTTGATCACAAAGTAAATTCGAAGGCCTTCGTGTGTTTTTAGACAAAATGATTTATTATATATTTATTTATTTAAATTATTATTTTTGTCAAACAAATGTTTTATTGTGATCGAACCAGAAATAATCAAAGGTACCAAAATAAATATATTAATTAAGTAGTTGGATTGATGGCTATATTTATCCGATAACTAATTATGCATAGAGGGGTCAAATTGCAATATTAACTTAGAGGTTATTTATTATTTATTTGGAGTTCAATTAATTTCTTTTAGTGGAGTAGAAATTAATTTATGAATTAATTGAATTGGGTCCATGGACCGGGCCAATTATTAATTCATTGTAGCCAATAAAATAATAGGCCCAATGGATTCTCACTCATAGCCCAACTTGATATTGGAATCATATTAGATTTGAGACATGTGAATTAGAGATTGAGAAGGATTAGTTGTTTCCTTTTCTTTACCTTTATGTTGCCTATAAATATACATGGTCTATGTATATTTTAGGTGTGATTTTTAGTAGAAGGAAAAAAGGAATATATATTTTCTCTCTCTAGAAAATTAGGGTTTATGTTCTCATCTAATGGAGGCTCCCATAAGCCTAGTTTTCCAAGGTCATTCATGGAGGCTTATGAGTGATTCCTAAAGGCAAAACAATTACCAAGAAGATGGAGATCCATGGAAAAGGTGTCCAGCAAAAGGGATCTACAATAAGTGAGAATATTCACTTTAGAGGAGAGATCTAAGGTTTACTCAAACGTTGATGTAAGTATTCAATCTTTTAATTGAATGATATATCATGTTTTATTTTTGCATAAAACATGTCTCTATGTGATGAATCAAGATCTATGAATCAAAATTCCTCGAAAAGTTTTTAAAACTTGCACGTTTCCCAACAGTGGTATCAGAGCATGGTTTGATTCATTACTAGAGATCATATTTTTATCAAAATTCATCATTCATGGATCCAATTTTGATATGCATATATATTTATTTATTGATGTATGTTGATGTATGATTTAATATGTTGATATATATTGATACATGATGATGTATGAATAATTGTGAATGAATGATGATGTATGGTTGGGTCATGGATGAAGCTTATAGGTTAAATGAATGTAATTTTATCTTTGGATGAATGTAATTAAGGCTTTGATTTAGCCGTTTGAAAGTTCAATGATGTAATTTATTTTTCCCATTGTATTTCAAGTTGTAAATATTTTTAAAGCCATGTAATATTCATCAAAGGATGCTATGAAGCTTCAAGAAGGTCCAAGAGGGTTAAATTAGGCTTCAGAAATTTTCTGGGATTTTTTTAGCAATTTTCTGGAATTTTTCTGGAATTTTTTAAGGCCTAATTTAATTTCTGGAAATTTTTATTAATTTTTCTGGAATTTTCGGCGATTTTCTGGCGACCGGAGCAATGCCGGCGGCGAGGGACGGCGCCAGAAGATGGACGTATAATCTAGTGTAGCAGTACCCATGGTGCACTGAAGAGGACAGTCAATGGAAAAGCGCGTGAGGTACACGCGCTGATAGTCAACATTCTGGCGCGTGAGATACACGCGCCAGACAAAGTCAACCATCCGGCGCGTGAGGAACACGCGCCGGACAAAGGAACCTTCCCCACGCGCATGCCGGCGCGTGGCAACGCGTGGCATGCACTGAATCATCTTTCTAGCGCGTGTAAGCGCGTGGCACGCGCTGGGACTCTCCAGAGGCGCGTGGGACGGCGTGAATGACCTTCCAGGTGCGTTTCAAGCCTCGTTTTGCTTCTCCTAGCGCGTATCAACTTCCTGGGGGTGCTTGCAAGCCGATGGATGATCCTCGCGCAATACTTAGAGTAGTTAAATGTTAAAAGCTGATTCCATTGGCCATTTTATTTGCTTTATCTGTTATTTATTTATTTATGCGATGTATGAAATGCATGGAATATATAATTGTTAATTAATTATTATTCATGCATTGGATCCATGATATTTATTTAAATGGCTTGATTTATATTAATTAAGTTATGAAAATTAATTGGATCTGATTACTAATTAATTTGAGGGCACTTATTGGGAAACGCAAAATTATTTTTTGTAAATTATTTTTAAAGTGTGCTTCAAATTAAATATTAGTGAATCGTTTAAAGTCCAAATATTTTCTAAATTTAATTGGATTAAAATCAAGACGTTTTGCATGCATTATATCATGTAAATGAATAAAATGAAAACTCTAATTATGGATGATTAAAAATTGAGCGGGAGCGGGGATTTTTATACATTGCCCCCATGGCCTTCGTTATTAACACCATTGTAATTAGGTCTTCAAAAATAAGGCCCCACGCATGATTTGAAGAGTCTTAATATTACAAGAATGGTTATCTCATAAAAATAATAATATTAAATGTTCATTGTAATTAGATCTTTAAAAATAAGGCCCTACGCATGATTTAAAGAGTTTAGATTATAATGACAAGATATTTAATGTTTTATTTTTTATTAGAGCTTTAATAACGTTATACACTCAATCTAAAATCAATAGTGTTAGCTCCCCAACGGAGTGGTCTACACTAGGTGATTTTAGAAAGGCTAAACATAATCGGGAATTATTTCATATAGATAGACAAGACATTGTCTTAAGAAATATGGAGATGATGGGATTTGCCCGCCAATAACAATAATGAACTTCGCCAACCGAATAAGTTATTGGTGTATTGGTTATCCGATTTTTCATGCAGTGGTTAAGGGACCCACATATTATTTTAATGGAAGTTCTCACCTAATAGCAAATGAATCTCTACAATAGTAATAATGAACTCCTCCAACAGGATAAGTTATTGACATATTGATTGGTTGATTTATTATGCTACAGAGTTGAGGGACCCACATTAATTAAAAGGGATTGTTCACCAATAATGATAATGATCTCTTGTTCGATTGAGATTTATTATATTATGTGGTAAACAAATTCATTTTAATTTTAAATATGCATGACAGTATTAATAATTCACCTTGCATATTGTATGAATGCATTTATATTCAGACTAATTATGTCTAATCCATTTTATCTGCTTGCTAATTTCAATGTATGTGGACTTCATTTATAATGACTAGAAAAGGAATTTAGATATTTTATTCACAACGTGGTGGTACAAATGTATTTACTACTCCTAAAACCTAATCCTTTTACTTTAAGATACCCAAGAGAACATTAATGCTTTGAATAAGTGAAATAAGGCAAATGAGATGAATTGGTGCAATATTCTAGAGTTTACCTCGAATACGCTCCAAAGCTAACATTTACATTATTTTATTTTCTTCAAGCACTATATTAAATGTCAATAAGATGTTTTGGTGAGATTAGATAGAGAGTATGCTAAAGTACTATATCAGACTTGAATAGCATCAAGATAGCCTAAGGAACTCCAGTATGAAATCGAACTTTGGAAAATGATTGTTTATTATTTAAAATTAGCTGGAGATCAATAGGGCTGACTTGGGTGGTAAGTTTCAAGTTGACATAATTATTGCCTTGTTACCAAACTCGTTCGACTCTGTTAGAGTGAACTAAATAAGGAATCAGTTTGAGTTCACACTCACTGATATTCTTATAGAATTGGTAACAGATGAAGGGATAATCAAGAGTTTGGGCGTTCCTATCAATCTAACCTAGTATATACCATCTTCTTCTAGGCCCAAATGGCTGGGCAAAGCAAAGAAGAAGGATGATAATAGGACTAGGCTAGCACAAAACATGGGTATTCAAAAAGGTTAAAGGGAATAAGGCAGTGTATGTTGAGGGCGAAGAAAACTGTTTCTTTTGTCGCTAACTAAAACACTAAAGGACGAACTGTTTAAGCAATGACGTGGCATAGGAAAATATATATTTAATCATTGAGCCATGTTATGTGGTTGCATCTATTAATTCCTGATAGATAGATTCTGGAGCTACTAAACATGTTTGCAATTTATTGTAAGGATTTCAGGAATCCAGAAGCCTTGATGATATGGTTATATATTTATCTTTTGACCTGATGCCAAGGTTGTAGTTAAGTCAGTGGGAGTATTACATATGAAATTGGAGAGTATGAGGATATTAGTATTAGAGAACTATCTTGATGAACAGAAGTGAAACGCAATCTCATTCTTATTTCACTTTTGGTTTATAAAAACTGTGTTGTTATTTTGTAAAATTGGTTTTATAAAATTGAATAGATATGCGATTGCTTCTAGTGCATTGAAAGATGGTTAATATACTATAATCACAAACTCTTAAGATTTGCAGGATGTAAAAACTAATGTTGCATCTTCTAGATTGAATGTTAAGAGAAAAATTGTTATTCCTGACTCATTGTATTTTTAGCGTCTATTTTTGGGTTGTAATCAGTCAAAATGAGATTCAAAGATTGATCAAAGAAGGTTAATTATCTAG